CAAAGATTATTTCTGAAACAGTATGGAGCTTAAATGCTTTTTCTCTCGCGGGTTTACCACAAGGAGAGTTCCTTTTTATATCCAGCTTCTTTACACATACTCTCTCCAGTACATGCTTTCTAATGTGAACACAGACCATATTACTTTCAAAACGTTGCACATTGTTTCTGATACAGCAACGTTTCTGATAGGACCGTGGGCATAAAGCCAGCACACATTTCCGATATTACGTCATATCGGACGCAAATCTGGATCAGCTCCGTGGTCCCCCTGTTTTTAGAGATTTGGGTACGGAGGAAAAGAGAGAGGGTTTTATTTTCTGACACTTTGTGAGTTCCCTGACACACCGGGGACACAGATGTGCATTTTGCAAGATAGGAGACCTTTAAAGTGCACCTATCATGCTATTTTTAGGCATATATTATGGGTCTGAGATATTTTTTCAAATCCTCCCAAAAAAAAAAATCATGTGGCCCTAATCCTCTTCCGTAGATTGGTCACTGCCCATAAAGGGGAACTCTTTTGTGATAACTATACAACCAACAGGACAGTGTGTGTGTGTGTGTGTGTGTGTGTGTGTGTGTGTGTGTGTGTGTGTGTGTGTGTGTGTGTGTGTGTGTGTGTGTGTGTGTGTGTGTGTGTGTGTGTGTGTGTGTGTGTGTGTGTGTGTGTGTGTGTGTGTGTGTGTGTGTGTGTGTGTGTGTGTGTGTGTGTGTGTGTGTGTGTGTGTGTGTGTGTGTGTGTGTGTGTGAATAAATGTTTGAAGTAAAATGGTTCAATCTGGTGCACTTTAAGCACACAATTACTAGAGACTAGATCTAGGGGGTACAACTTGAAACACCCATATGAAAAAGTTCGGTTTACATTTTAATAACCAAATATGTGAACATAACCAATAACCTACTACAGCCAATAACAAATAAATGTAACTTATTTTATTTTTGTTGTTCATTCATATCTTATTTTACCTATAGTTAAAATGTATTTATGCATATTTTGATATCTCTCAAGTTTTAAACGATATTTTTGCTTTACTGTCCTATAGTATACATTGAAATGATTTCAAACCTGTTTATCCACATAATTATAAAGGAGTGCCTTGGAAATATTTGTTTACATAAATTGCATTTATCTCTCTTGCTCGCTCCCACGCCCACTTTGGCTGTGAGCTGCGGACGCCTGATAAGCCAACACCCCCCACTTTAATCACTTACAGCGCCCATCGTACAGGGCAAATGAAAAGTGTAACCGGGGTGAAAAGGGTGTTACCTTTACTTAATTATGAATGTTGTTACATCAAGGCTGAAAATTAGGATGAGTGCAAACAGTCAAAAATAACACAGAATTTGGTGATGATTAAATAGTTTACAGTGAGATTTTGTCACGATCTGTCCGTGTTGTGTTTTGTCTTTTTCTGTCTTTGGTTTCCTGTTTTATTTTGTAAAGTGTTCACCCCCCATTCCTGCCTGTTGCTTTCTGTCTGTTTTCCCTCCCTGATTACCCGATTGTGTTCACCTGGTGCCCCTGTGTTTTCTCCTCCCTCCTCACCTGTCTCTTGTTTGTTTGATTAGTCCTGGGTGTATTTAGGTTCTGTGTTTTCTGTTAGTCTTTGTGAGTTCCTTGTCGTATTTGGACGTTGGTCACGGGGTGAGAGTACTGTTTTGTCCAAGTTTGTTTCAGTAGCCTTGAAATAAAGGTATTTTTTCTGTTCATCTGCATTTGGGTCCTCCTTGCCTCACTCAGCCCTGACAGAAGGAACTCACCAAATATGGGCCCAGCAGATCCTTTTGAGCAGGAATTGTTGGATTTTACTTTTTCTTTGGCTACCTGCTCTGATCGATGGATGGGAGCGTCCGGGGTTCAGCAGCGAGAGGCTGCTCTGGCAGAGGCGCGCCAGATAACTATGGAGAAACCAGACTTGGTGAGATTCTTACCGGGCGGGATTTTGGATTTCCTCATGGCGTGTTATCCCCTGCCTGACAGCCCCAGGCCTCCCAACTCCCGTTATGACACCACACGCATCGGTGTGGTCCGTTTGGAGTCAACCCTGGCTTCTGCCCCATTGCCTGCTCCTGTCCAGGAGCCGTTCTCTGGAACTCATCTGGCCTTTGGAGGTCCACGGAGCCTCCAAACGGCTCCTAAAGGAAGGAGTCGCAAGGCCTAGTTAGCAGCCCGAGCCCAAAGATCCATGGTTCCGGCCCCAGCAGCCATGGTTCATTTATTTATTTTTCTGACATGTATACAGTTCACCTCATCTGCACTACTTGTAGACTCGTCTAACAACATAACCTGCACCTTTATATTCTATGTTATCCTACTCATTTTGCACTATTTTTATTTTCTTATTTTGTCTCATGTCCTTTATATAATATGTTACATTGTTAATTATTACGTTTATTCTGGTTTGTTTTGTGCTTGTATCTTTTATTTTAAATGTATTTATTGTATGTTTTGTGAGCTTATCTCTCTGTACAGCACTTTGGTCTGAAGGTGTTACAGTGCTATATAAATAAAGTTGGATTGGATTGTTGGAGGGGTTCAGGACCTAAGATGTTCATTGCAGAACTACACTGTACTGTGCACATGATAATAAAACCCTTGAATCTTGAATCTGTGCATTGGTGCTTTTGGCCAACTACACCAAAAGGCCACAAGATGACACTGTTGCTCAATTATTTAGAGGTCTGTTTGATTTAGTGATCAGATTAGAACTACAAGTCTACATTTGTTTTCTAAACACAATCACCTTTTTTCTCAGAATGTTTTGTATCCCAACAAAGAAGATTAAACATATTACAATCGGTACTTGCATGCTGTTGGGTTTTTTCTAAGATGTGACAATACATTTGTCTAAAAGTTTCAGAGAAAGATAATTCTATCTCTAGGCATCATGTCTGACATTCTCCTTCACGTATACAATGTACACAATGGGATCATGATCAATACAAAATAAATCAACTCCTAATTTGTATTATTAGCAAATATTTTCTGGTTTGGAGATCATCGATGGAGGTTTGAATAGGCTCTGTGCAGATATCACTTTGTAACACTGTAGTTGTTGATAGCCTCAGAAGCCTCGATAAAAGAGGACATAAATGGTATCTTACTGGTGGCTGGTTATCTTAGCGTCATCAAGATGATATAACTGCATTTATTTTTCCACTATCTGAGTATGAGGGGACAGGGGTTAGGACCCATATCCAGAGCTAAAAGGAAAAAGGTTGTGTTTGTGTGTGTGACAGCACAGGTGGAGAAATGGGTGGGTCAGTCAGGTAAGGGGAAAGGAGAGTTCGAGGGCATCTGGTGGATGCAATGAGAACTACAATGGTTTGTTGATTTTGCCTCTGTTAAATCTGCATTGGGAAAGCTACTGTAAAATATATTGCTGAGTGGTTGTCAGTCATACACCCTATTGTCAAGGACTTTTATTGTGAAATGGAGAACACAGGTGATAACAAGGCTAATACAAAGTACATTATTATTCTCAAAATTGATTGATTAACTCTATGTTTACTTGTTTATATATTAACTCTGCTTAATAGGCCTACTGTCCATTTACATTACATGTCACTTACAAGCGACTTACATACATTCAGGACACAACGACATGCTGACTGCAGTGGGACTCGAACCTGTTACCCCCTGATTCGAGCTCCAGCACACTACCCACTGAGCCACAGCCTCCCTAAACCACTAAAAGTAATGTACACCCTCATGTTAATTAGCTAGAAGCTAAGTGTGGTCTAGTACTGGGTGTCGTCATGGTTTTACTTGAATATAATTTCCTCTGTAGTTTGGCTCCCACTCTATGAGCCATGAGTATAAATAAAACTCCAAAATGATTAAATATGACCATATGAGCACAAAATAGTTGTAGTTGTTAATCTAAAAAAATACTATTTCCTTTGTAGGGAACTAATATATATTTAATCTAGATCTTATCTAAACAAATAGATGGCAGCTGTTATATAACAGGATGGTCGCTGTGTGACTGACAGGAGATAACGACCGTTTGGGGGTGACATCATTGGACCTCTGCTCAAGACTTATGGCCACAACACGAAGGACACTTAGATGAGTTAAAACCATGCAAGTGGATAGTATAAAGCCCTATGTATATCTCAGCCATACCAGACTCCTCCACATCTAAACAAGACCTGCTGGTGAGCTTGCTTGTTTCATCTTAACACTGTGAATACATTCACGTCCAAAAGGGCAGCTTTTCAGCATGTAAGGCATGTATGGATTTTTGACTATTTATCATGTGCCTAAGAGGCGGAGGAATGTTGTCATTGGAGAAAAATGTTAATCTTAAATACGTAATATAGCATGTAAAACCTTGAGTTATGGGTTTTTACCTTCCTGTGATGATGTGTTCTCTTCATTAGACAGAGGAGAGGTCTGTAAAACATGTGTTTCTTGTCTAGAAAATCATTTTGTGAAACCCAGCAAAGCAAGCAAATATAAAAGCATGTATGCATCTTGCTCAATGCCTCACTTCAAATGTTTATATATACAGTTGTGAACAGTTGATGTATTAATGCCTTTATTGCATAATGATTTGATAAAAGGTAAACCTTACTTACTTACTCGAAAACATTTATTCTTAAACCACCAATTTATGTACTTGAGCCTTATTTGATTTCTAGGTGTTTTCTTCTTTAAATGCATTTTGTTTAAGAAGTTGAATCATAAGGAAAACAGTGAAGTAGATTGAGCTCTGTGTTTATGGAGACAAAGGAATATGGAATTTCATTAAATGGGTAGCTCTTGGTCTTTCATAAACAATGTCGTTTGATTTCTCCGTGTTGTGTCTTGCTCAGGGCCAAAAGGAGAAAATGCCATTTGGAATAAAAGGGTGATTTCTCTAAAGACAGGCACACCATTTGCGTATCCAAATATTTATCTCAACCTTTTTTGAAGTTGTTTTATGTGCACATTTAATCTTTTATCTCCTGCTACTTTTCTTTTTCTCCCACCGGAAAAACAACAGGAAAGTCTTTAGGTTCACATCATTTATTTGACCCCCAGCCATGCAAAAAATATGAAATGCTTGAACAAAATTAACAATCCTTTTAGAAAATTACAGTCTTAAAATTGCATACGTCTATACGTCTACTGCATACCCATTTATTTTAAATGTCCGCAGCAGCACTTGGGGTGTCATAGAAAAATAAATGTGATCCCTCTTGTATTCACACTGTGTCTGTTTGTGCAAAGGAGCAAAATATTACAATACTGTGTACAAATATAGTCATGAAATAGTTAACGCTTTATTTTAACTCCCCTTACTTAGGGAATATAGGGGGTGAATACACATTTAATTAATGTGTGACGACACACAAATGGTAAATGTAAACATAATCTTTTTTTATAGCATCACTGTGGGCAATTGTGGATGCTGGTGTCGAAATAGATAATAATAATCTAGTAAAACACATTTAAAAAACATGTCTCTATAGAAGCTAAAATGGTTTACAAATACTGCACATGTATTAACACTTAAAAATTCCTTCATAATAACTTTTTTCTGTGAATCAATGATAAAATATTGTAAAGGAAGGTGTTGCCATAGTGTCAGTCCAAATAGTAGAATGCATCCTAATAATAAACCACCTTTATATACAGGTTTCAAATGTAGCCAAACTTAATTCCCAAAGTGCAAGTCAATGTGCATTCCCATTCACTGCCTTTTTTATTTTAAAATTATAATTATTAGAGTCAAACCTTAAACTTTGGAAAACAATATTTTCAATCTGGCATTTATGTTTGTATATTTCTTTGTATGAAGAACATTAAAAGTTTCCACACAGATCTGTTGTTTCCGTCTAACATTATTCACTAATGCTGTTATCATTACACTTTGTTGCATTTTGCTTTTGTTGATACACCAACTTTAACAGCTCAGCTAAACATTTCAAGTGTATTTTATTACTTCTCAACATAACCTCTCAGGGTTTTATGCATAAAATGGCCATAAAAAGAAGTTGGATGGAAAATTGCTGTACATAGCTTGTTGATTAATCGTCACAGTTGACATACTGATTCACAGATGCACATACTCTCTGTTTTACTTCGCATCAGTTCAGAAAACATGCAGTGCTTTACAGATCCAGACTCAGATTTTTCAAGGCTTATCAGAAGAGAAATCTCCTGTTAAATCTATAAAGTGGATTTATTGCAGATGAGTTCAGAGTGAGTAGATTGAACCGTCCATTCGGCCACATTTACTCAGACATGTGATCCCATTTAGTTGTCACTTTGTGTCTAATCACTTTCTGCATTGCCTTGCATTCAAATTACAATTCAAATGTCATTGATAGTTCCATTCATCATTAATACAAAATTATTGTTCGTGATAAGCAACATTTCCAGGGTCTTTGCAAGATGGCAGACACTGAATGGCACAGAAAAGTGAACTGAAGAACTGGTGTTTAACCCTGTTTTCAGCACACTTGTGTCTACCTTATTCTTGGGTTTATGTTAGCAGCCTTCTCCACTAACTCTGTGTGACTCAACCCTCATCTGCTCCAGGTCCTCCTCAGAGCTGCACGCGCTTTGCTGCGTCGCACGAGAGAAAAACCTGCGACGTGATTGAGCGCTGAGGTCTAGGAGGTCAAAGGAATCGGAAGAGAAGAGGCTATCCTCGCTCACCACACTTGAGGGGCGGCTACGGCGACCCTGGGCACCCCCTGTGTCCTGGAGAAGCTGCTGGAGAGCTTCAGGGAATATCATGGATGCCGGGTGCTGGTCATCGTGAAGATCCAGACTGCGAGAGAACTTGCCGTTGCGTTTCAGAATCCCCTTCCTTCTTCTTACCGCTTCAGTGCGCATGGTGGGGCTGTCTTCTGCCGCTGGGAGCCCAGTGTGCTGGTTGTGGTAGCAGAAATCACCTGCTCCTTCTCCATCTTTAACTTCTGCTCCAGATATCCTTCTTTGTGAGGATGAGCCATAACTCGATTCCCCCCCATACAAGTTCTTCAGTATCCCCTTCTTGGGCATCTTGGTTGAGGGCTGACAGAAAGTAGAGGGAGGTGGCAGGCTGGTGGAAAGGACATCAGCATGTGTGCGGGGAAGTGAATGTGATTGAAAAGGCTGGGGAGCAGTGCTACACAGTTGGGAGAATATTTCTTTAGGAGGGCTGTGAAAGATTGAGTCAAAACTTCTGTGGGGTTTTAGAATACCTTTGGGCTTCTTTCTTTCAATGGTGGGAGTGGAGGAAATCGCAGCAGAGGAGGCAGCTGTTTCGCTAACACCATCACAAGCTCCAAGTGCAGTCTGGGGAATTGTATTCTCCTTGCGTGACTTCCTCAGGCTTGACATTCTTCTGCATAATCTTCCTCCTCCTCGATCACTCGTCAGAGGGAAGCTGAAGTAAAAGGGATGAGGTGAGAGTTGAGGTGGACAGGAAGAGTCTGAGGATAGGCTCATGTTGCTGGTAACGGCGACACGATTCTGCCAGTCGATGTAGCGTGCCAGTAGGGGGGAGGGGCATTCTTGGTGTGGGGGTGAAGGGCAGTCACACACACTCTCTTCAAAACCCCAGTTCACCCACCAGTGGTTGGCAACGTCCTCTATCGTAGCCCTCTCATCCACACGCACTGTCAACAACCAGTCGATAAGAGCGCAGGCGTCTGGAGGGAACACCGTCAACATTTATTTATAGCAGCCAAACTGACAACAACATTGTACATTAACAGGTTTCTAGTAAGAACAACACACAAAGCCATTATATCAGAGTAGAAATTTAAATATAATGTTAATGAACATTGTAAAGGGTTACCTGATGGGGGGTTGGGTCTGCTGTAGCGACCTTGGCTGATTTGGTCTGTAAGTGTGCAGTGGCTAGCCCCATTGAATGGCATGCTGCTGTACACCAGGGCATAAAGCAGCACCCCCAGCGCCCAGCAGTCCACCTAGCATATCAAAACATAATGAAGTACATGCCTTGCCACCTCAGAAAATTCAGGCTATAATTTAACACAATGAGATGGTGCATGATAAAAAGCACAATCAAAGGATCTACATTCATGTGACTAAACTGAACTATATTTGACATTTCGCATTTTTGTCGGACCCATTTAATGTGGTTCAAACTCAGCATTTGAAAGCTGCACTAAAAACTATTTGTTTATTAGAAATGGATCAATAACAATGGTTAACATGAAAAGTATGTTTTCACCGGCTGTGAGTTCCCCCAGCTCTACAGAAAGCCTTACTATCTTTCAGTTCATTGTTTGGATTTAACAGACCAGAGCTTTACTGTTTTGGTTATATTTTGTCTGAGGAAACCAGTGAGGGCCGTGTGTGTTGACCAACCTCTGGCCCCTGGTAGGGCAGTCCGTTCACTATCTCCGGGGCAGCATAAAGTGGACTTCCACAGTAGGTCTGCAGCAGAGTCCCCCTCTGGAAGTGATTGGAAAGGCCAAAGTCAGCCAGCTGCAGAGTCAGAGAGAGAGAGAGAAAACATAAAATACATCTTAAGAGTCAAGTATTATTTTGGGCGTGAGTAAATATATTACTTAATAACTTTACGTTGCAATAAGACAAATAACAAAAAAATAAACAAGTCAAGTTACAGCTGACCATTTAGGACATAACTATTATTAGATATTATAATTACTTTAACATATACAATACTTAATATTACACACTTAAAGAAGCCGCCTAGCCACTAAATTGAAACACATCGTTTTCATGAATATTGATCTATTGCTTAATAGAAGGCAGATCTTGAATGATGCCAGAAACCTTAAGAATTGTAATGCTAATACATATGAAGCCTAACCTTGAAACATTTTAAATAATACAACTCATATCTCAAAACAAGTAAGTTGTCATTCAAAAAAGTATTTAAAAAATCCAGTCAATCATATCTGTGTTTGTGTGAAATAAACAATAAACAGATGATATAACTAAATCAGCTGAAAACACATTACCTTATGACATACTGGACCAATCAGTTTACACTAAACCCTTTATAAATGCATTAGTTAATTCACCTCAACACACACATGCTTCTCATTTAATCCAGATTCCTTCTGAGTGAGTGTGCACTGCAAAACCCTTAACCAAAAACACAGTCACTAAAAACAATTCCTTTTAGAAGAGCTAAAATTAGTAAGGCTGAGCTTTTGCCAATGTAAGTGTGAGTGAGGGAAGAGGAGAGTGCCAAAAACATCAGGCTGCTTACACTCACGTAACGGAACAATCACTCACTCGAGGCCGCAAGAGCCATATGCAGACATACCGAGGCTCCTCTCTATCTGAAGAGATTAATACCATGAGCACCAAGCCACTATCAGCCCCTGTGGTGTTAAAATGCTCAGCCCGTCAGCTTTATTTCCGTGAAACAGAGACCTCACAGGTGGCGGAGTACACTGTGTATACAAGCCAGCTCACAGTTGATATTATACATACAGTGACAATAATGGGGTGTAGTATGAGCATGTGAGTTGTGTAAAGCTCTACTACCTTGTGTGTGTCTGTGTGTGTATGCATTCTGCAGTATAACTCATGTTTACATCCACCAGAGAACTTATTACAGTCCTTTGCGGGAAACATTCCTCAGTGTCCAATGATTGTGTAAGATGCATTTTCTTTACTAGACATATACATGTCTCCTGTACATATGTCTGGGAATTAAATTGATGTTGTGAGAAGCCACCGTCTCTCATACCAACACATCCTCACTCCCAGGTCGGCCTATGTTGACGTTATGTCAAGTCCCCTGTCGGCTTTTTCCAACGCAAGGGGGGGGGGCCTTAGCGTCCATTTTCAACGCAAGGGGGGGGGCCTTAGCGTCCATGTTCAGCTTTCCGGGATGTCCATATGCTTCTATAGACGCTCATGGAAGCACGGCATTCGTTTTTGTCGGCTGCCCTTAAAGGCAATGTGAGCGTCCATTCTCATTGGATAACGGAGAATTGTACACCCGGAAGTAAGTATTCCCCTTACTGTCGATTGATTTTACAGTGATATCTGCACTACTCATCGACTAAAAAACACCAGATTATCCTTGTTAATTACACAACATTGATGTTTAAATTGTGTGCAATGCTTTTGTATTTTTCCCCTTCGATTCTGAGAAACAAATATGTTTTCGGAGTAAAGGATGGCAGAAGACACTACACTACCCAGAATCCCCAGCTATCGTTTGGACTACACCATGTGCTCTGTTTGACGTCACGTGATCTTCAAATTTCTCCCTGAAGAAAAAAAAAACATGGCCGAACTTCGTTTTATTCTCGATGGAAAATGCCTATTTTAAAGTTAGTTTGGCCATTAAAATGCGTTTTGCTGTCATTTGATGCGAGAAATATGAGTTGTTATTTCAGATTATGTGTGCAGTGGATGTACATGATCTTTAGTTTGCTAGTTATTACGAAGATTACTTCAGGAAATTGCGTCCATAACGTTTTCATTGTTACCAAGGTGGTTGCTAGGGACGCTGCTATCGATATGATTTATGTTATGTTGTGTAACTGTTTAATGGTGTTATCTTTATTGCTACCCCCTTCCCCGTCAATGTATAGTGTTGGTCCACAGCGAAAACATATTAGTTTAACAAAATCCGCATCTAAAGATAGCCTACGTTATTTTCCCCTGTGCAATTCCAGTCTCACATCTCAGAGCACATCGTCATTAACAAATAACGGAAACAGACCGAAAACATTTAAAAAAAATACAATAATACTTTATTCCGAGTGTGCTTGCTTTTCTCTTTGGAAGTCATCACATAACGGCATTGTAATACACGGTTCGGCTGCATTAAATATTACATATCTGCCGTAGTTCTGTATTTATAGAGCCCTGATGAGAAGACTTCTAGACAAACATGAGGAACTGAAAACGTGACGTGGATCATAAATATATCAGCCATTAAACAACATCTTACATTTCTTTTCACACAATACGTCTCCTTGCAGTATCAACACTAATTCGGCTGACTTTTATATTTGATCCAATTGGTAGATAGGCTGTATTTACACCATAAAGGTGCACACCTGATATAAAGGGACACCTAGTGGTTAAAGCATGTTATTGAATTTCATTATTTTTATCATTAGATATTAATAGGATCCCTATAAAGTATATTAATTACTCGTTATTCTCTACTAATAGTTCATTAAAGACTGTATATAATGACTATTTTGCACATTCCTTTCAAGATTTTCTAAGGTTTATTGACATATCATATAGGCCTACACAACTATGGTGTAGTTATGCATTGAATGAAAAACTTGGGTCACAGGTTCCTCAATAGTGCATTACAAGACATCTATCAATATTTGTGCGTACCTCCAGCAATGTTAACTATGTTGAAGCACTTATTTTAACTGATATTATACATAATGTATTATACTCTTATAAGATATATGTAGATATTTAATCTCCGACCTTGTCAGGTATTGAACAATCAATAAATAAAGAACACAGAATTGTTGAATATAAAACACAGAATTTGTGTGATTATACTAAATGATTTACAAATAAACACCACTGCATATTTAACTGTTACACATGCTGATGTAACGCAAATGTTCCAACTTGAGATCAATAAATTATATCTTATCTTAAGCTGATCGATGGCTATACTGCCATATTTGCAAAATGTGCCTCTGAACCTTAACAAGTGCATGTTTCAGGCTTATCAATTAATGTAATGTTATCAATTAACAACAGGGGTCACAAACATAAGACCAGCTGTTAAATAAAGCTCTTCTGACCTTAGCTGGCATGTGTGTATATATATATATATATTAATGCTGCCCATTATGGGCACAAGCAATTTTCACCCATTTATTAATTATATGTTTTAAATGTGAGTGTTTCCTATCCCCTAAACCTCCAGGGATGTACACAGTTTAATACTGGCAACTTCTTATTATGGGAAATACGAAAACGTCTTTTAAAACTACAACTCCCAGTAGAGACGTGCCATAGATACAGAACATGTTGCGAAACAGAATAGCCAGCATTTGTAGTTCTGGGGACAGGGTGGGGGAGGGGGGACGCGGTGGACCCGTTCAAATCCAGTTTTGGACAGTCTGCGTGGTTCCATCCCATTTCAAGTGCTGTTCGAGGCTCGGCGTAACCCTCGGAGCACACTCTCCAATCACAGAGCTTGAGGACTATCACGGGGTTTGTCAAACAGAGCACATGGTGTAGTCCAAACGATAGCTGGGGATTCTGGGTAGTGTAGTGTCTTCTGCCATCCTTTACTCCGAAAAAACATTTGTTTCTCCGAATCGAAGGGGAAAAATACAAAAGCATTGCACACAATTTAAACCAATCAATGTTGTGTAATTAACAAGGATAATCTGGTGTTTTTTAGTCGATGAGTAGTGCAGATATCACTGTAAAATCAATCGACAGTAAGGGGAATACTTACTTCCGGGTGTACAATTCTCCGTTATCCAATGAGAATGGACGCTCACATTGCCTTTAAGGGCAGTCGACACAAACGAACGCCGTGCTTCCATGAGCGTCCATAGAAGCATATGGACATCCCGGAAAGCTGAAAATGGACGCTAAGGGCCCCCCCCCTTGCGTTGAAAATGGACGCTAAGGCCCCCCCCCTTGCGTTGGAAAAAGCCGACAGGGGACTTGACATAACGTCAACATAGGCCGACTTGGGAGTGAGGATGTGTTGCTCATACACATGCTGGACTGAAACAGGTCGCTGGTCATTTTCTACGGTGCTTTGGATCTACCATTGAATGCAGACTTCTGCTACTAAGAAGTGTATAGTTCAATTTAACCACTTAAGGGCAATCTATTATTAGTATAGAGCAACATTTTCCCTGTCACGTCTGACGATGCATCGCACAGAGGCTGTGTTATTTCCTGCAACGGATGCTGTGAGAGGCCGATGTGGTGAACATGAGGTTTGTGACGAACGAAGAGCCGCTGAGAGGTCTGCACATAGTGTTTTCTTTTGATGGACAGACAGAGCATACTTATATTAAAACCCTTCGATTGGCTCGATTGCCACTGGATTCCCAGCATTCCCCTTTGGCCGTGCTCAGCTCCCATATAAGGAGAGGGATACCCAAATAAGGCAACAAATTACCCCTGTGTTCTTTTATAAGACCTGGCAGTATGTTTGTGCTGGTTCAGTGTGCATACCTTAACAACACATACAAATGACTGTGGGTTGAGAGGGCTCCAATACTATATGCTCTGAAAGTGCACTGTGTTGCATTTTAGTTAAAGCTTCCTTCCAGGATGCTAAAAACAGCAGCAGTGGAAAGCTTCCTGATATAGATGCCAGTGTCTTATGAAGATGTGCCTTTGTGCTTCAAAACAAAAGCAACTGTGGCTATTTGGATGGTCTATTATTATAACACAAGACACACATTCATCATGTTGTTGGAAAGTGTGGAAAGGCTCAGTGTGTATGTTCTGTCAAATTCAGTATGCCGTACCTCACCTCCTCTTAGACAGTTTATTAGCATACGCACAACTGCAACTAGGATAACAAGAGGTGCAGCGAGAGGAGATTGCATAACTCCACTCAGAAAAAGTTATTTCAGTCAGTCTTCATTTTCTGTTAAAGCTGCTCAGTAATGGAACTCAATCCCATCTACAATCAGAGACCAGACTACATTCAGTTTATTTAAATCCAAACTCAAAACATGGTTAGTGAGGAATCAGCTCTGCCAACACTGACACAATCTTCTGCTCCTTAAAACCCACTGCCTGTGTTTTAACATGTTCTTTTGTTTTATTTGTTTTGTTTTATTGTTCTGTCTTTTAAAACATTTGTATTTAAGTATTCCAGTAATTTATGTTGCATGTTTTAAATTGATTGTATTTACTTGTTTAAAATGAAATGTGTGATGAAAAATAGCCTCTTGACTAACACTGGCACATTTACAGCAATGTTAATTAATGTGCACTGTCCCTGTTAAATAAATGAATAAATACAAAAATAAAAATTCTTACCTTTACGTTCAAATCTTGATCCAAAAGGATGTTCTCCAGCTTGAGGTCTCGATGCACAACGCCGTTCTGAAGAGAGCAGGAACATAATGAGAGCCTGCACTGTCCCCCGTTTAATCTCAGATGTTTTCTCATTGCATGCAGACATTAAGACTGAAGCATCTAAAGTGTATAACATAAAGCCAGCATGTGCTGAAAGGGTCCTTTTATAACCATTAACATTCCACTCAGGCCTTGTGTTGCAGGGTTGTGTGTCTTCAGAAAAGCTCACAACAGCCATGAGGAATTCTTTTGTTTGAGTTAATTCATCTGATGAGATGCGCTTTGATCCCATGATGGCATTAAGCACCTGCCAGCCAACATGATGCCACAGTATATGCAGTTGTGGCGTATGGAGAGAGACCACACTAGAGGATTGATGGGAGGAAAACCTTTATTCCCTGACATTGAATAGGTGTTAAATCATATAAAGAGACAATGCTGTTATGGATACTGAACTGTGGCCACCCAGGAAGCAGGGAAAATGTAAACGTTGCTTATGTGCCAGGAAAGCCTACTTTCTTTTGTTAATGACAACCTCTTCAGAGAATTAAAGGAAATGACCCTTGGCATTAGACAATGGTTTGTCCACACTACGTACATCATAAAAAACATGTGTGTGTATTCAAGGCAGAGGAAGAAAAGTAGAAGAAATACATATATGTGGTTAACCAGGTTATTATTCTTGCTATTTTTAAATGACTATGAACCAATTTAGAATAACAAAAACAATACTGAAGTATTTTCATTCAAGCCTCATGTGCCTCCATGTGCCCTGCATACCTCAGAGGCACCTTTAATAATTCATTCGTGGTGGAGCACTCATGTCTATTTTGGGACAATGTTTGAGTGCATGAGGAGCTAGATATCCAGCTGCCTGTCTGCTACAAAGCCACAGGAGCTGAGTGATAATCTCTGAGTTTAATGTGGGACTCATGAAGAAGCCAAACTTCCAAAATAAGATGATATGAAAACACTTTTCTTTTTTTTAACTCAAATCAGCTCACTGCGAGACACATATCCTCACATTGACTGCACGCACTAAAAAAATAAAAATGTGTTCCTTTTCCAGGGCTTACATTATTTTGGAGGGAGAACAGTCAATGCGCTCTTTACTCGGCGATCTGAAAACGCAAGTCAAGTTTGTATGCAGTATTTAAGATAAGATAAGATTTTGTGGATTTAGCTGTTCTGTGTTTGCTTGCAACATGCAATTCAGCACATGCCCACATGTGGTTCCCAAATGTATACTGAATTCCAGAGGTGTATTTGCAAAAAGTGAGTGTGCAAACCTTGTGGCAGTAGTGGACAGCAGATGTGATTTGTCTGAAGATGCCTCTGGCTTCTGTTTCAGGCAGTCTCCTTCTCTCCTGAATGTAATCGTACAGCTCTCCCCTGCTGGCGAACTCCATCACTATCACAATCTTATCCCGGCTCTCAAACACTGCGCAGGACACATGAAACATTGACAGGTCAGAGTTATGCAGACGTGTTGACATGAACATCAGGGAATGCCTCAAACCATCACTATACTAAAAGAAAATGTGTTGTTTCTGCATTTGTTTTCATCTAAATATGAACCAGAATTAAACAGGACAATGTGTTACACCTCCTCTGTGTTTGTGTTGTGTTTGCAGACTAATGCAAACCAAAGAAGAAGCTTTCACAATGCGAGATATATGTTTATTAGTTTTTAATTCTCTGGTCATTTTTAGCACCTGCCCCATTAGGTTTGGATGTGAGTGTACAGTCCTTTTGTGTTTGTAGAATTACCCTCATGGAAGCGTATAATGTTGGCGTGCCTGAGCGAGGAGGTGATCTCAATCTCTCTCTGGATGTGAATTCTGTCCAGATCATCTGTGATACGCTCCTTGCGTATTGACTTAATCGCCACCTGAGAAAAGAGATACACTGTCTGAGAGTCTGTGCATGTATTTCAAATTATTGTATTCAAAACACATTTATCTGGATTGGTGCAGGTTGACAACAGAGCACTAGAACAATCTTCCACAGCAGGAAAACAGCTGTTAGGGGATTGCTAATACTTTATACAACCATTTGTTGGTGTATTATTTTCAAAAGCTCTTGTTCCATCCAATATAGATTCCTCGTCAATTTCTTTTTTTTCCACGACCCGGTTAACTCATTTCACCCCTAACCTCCTCACAACAATTTGAATTATTCAAACTGTGAACAAACACTGATAGATGGACAGTTCATGTATAACTTGCACATGCATGGAAACAAAGACATGTTATATACTCACACACAGAATACTCAAATATGTGGGTATTAGAGGTGATTATGTGGGTTTTAAGGGCTTGATGTGTAAGAGCAGGTCTCCTGTGATCTGAGCATGCTCAGAGGCAGAAGGTTGACAGCTGCCTTGTTCACACTGTTTCCTTAATCCTGGGCACTCATTGTACCCCAATGTAACCCCAACCCCAACCACTGAACACAACATAACACACACAATCTGGATAGAGTATAAAATGGCACCAAACAAGGACAGAACAGAGGCAGTAAAGTAAACAGGATCAGGTTCTCCTATTTGAAAATACTATAAGCTTGAAAAACATACAACAGAAAGAGTGAGAGTTTTGATATAATGTGAAGATGAGACTGCAGGATTAATTTGTGAGGTTGAAATCCTATCAAAAGCCCTCATTAAACCCCTGTACTATTCTGTCAACCCTTACAATGTCCCAATAGGAGAGCAGGTCTCCACCCGGGGTCGCAACATTCTCAGCTGCCGAAAAAACATCTACAAGACATTGGAAGACACAATTCACATGCTCCATCAACCACACTGGTTATGCAACACAGCACAAACTCACTCCAGGGAACACTCGGGACTGACCCGACCTTCTCTAACTGATGTCACGCGATCCAACAAGAATATTTTAATGCATTGGAATCTTTTCTTTAAACAAGTGCTAAAATATTAGGATTTTCTTTACACTTTGGACTGAAAATAGGAGACGTGAATGGAATGGATAAAGTATTTCAAAGTATGTTCCCTAATGGCAAAAAGCAAGTATTTTAATGTCTGTTTAAGCATTGACTTACCCCCCAGACTGGGAATTAAGGCCTGATCAGCAGAGCACAGAGAAGAGAGGCATGGGCATTGTTCAGACCTCAGGGAGCTAAGATCATTCTTAAAGGGGCACGTGTGCGCAGAGGAAGTGTGGGTATGTGAGTATATGATCTCACCATTGTTCATGCAAATGTGCTGTGTACGCGTCATGTCTAAGTATGACCTACAAAGTATCTAACTCACAATACCTCATTGTTCATCCAAATAATGTGCTGCACGTGTGATATCAGCTGAAAATGCCAAACTGTAATAGGATGCATGTTTGGAAGCCATGTGTGTGAGTCATGAAAATGTTCTCGGATAAGGTTTTGCACTATTTGATAATGTTTGAACAAGAGGAGCACACTGTAGATGTTGTAATGAGAGATGCATGATGTTCTGCACAGCCATATAAGACTTAATATAAACAATACATTTCCTTTAATATGGTTATTAATATGATCTAATACATACTTTTCACAAGTTGCAAATATCTGCTTAAGCATCTTATAAGCATCATTCAGTTTTATACTAAACGTTTTTTATTCTAGCTAATGTCAATGTAAGGGACATACAGTGCACTACATATCCAAGAAAGTATTTATCATCCTTTCCTTCCTCTTCATTTCACCATTAGTCCCCCTCCTGCAGCAAAAACAACTCAGACATGCAGGGACAATCTCAGGCCAGCTCTTTACCTCCAACCCCCTCCTTCTTCTCCTCCTCCTCCTCCTCCTACTCCTTCTCAGTCTTGCTCTCTAACTGTCCTCCTCTGCTTCCTCAAACTACGGCCCCCTGGTCTTGTTTCTAAAAATAAGGTCCGTTTTGTTTCAAAGAATCTTTGGTATGTGCTGGCTACTGGCTCAAAGGATTCAGCATTTTCCCCTTGTCCTACCAACACACACACACACACACACACACACACACACACACACACACACACACACACACACACACACACACACACACACACACACACACACACACACCACACACACACACACACACACACACACACACACACACACACACACACACACACACACACACCACACACACACACACCACACACACACACACACACACACACACACACACACACACACACACACACACACACACACAGCACACACACACACACACACACACACACACACACACACACACACACACACACACAACACACACACACCTTTTTTTCTCCCTCTCTCAATATATTCATCTATCAGTCTCCCTCCAGTTCATTCTTTCTCATAGATGTAGGCCTCTCAGTTACACTGAATGCCGCCCAAATAATTATCCCACTTTTATAATCTGATTGCAAAAAAAATGATCACTATTACAGTGTGTTTGTTTACTTAAGAAACAGAAGGGGAATGTGAGACTGACATCTCTCTCTTTGTGTTTGGTCAGGCTGACTGTAGACAATAACACACAGTTACTCAAAGTAATCGGGCACCTCATTCTATTTTTAACCTATTCTGAATGTGAGGTTAAACAGAAATATATTATATTTTAATGTCTGCCTCAGAATGAGTGTGAGTTCTTTAAACATGTGTCGGACTCCTAGGAGACCTTCAGTCTTGTAGTAACATTATCCCCTTGTTCAAGTGCTGAGTGAGTCAGACCACAGGCATCTTAGCCTGGCAGCACAGGAAGCAAGAACTGTGTTCACCGGGAGACAGACACACACACACACACACACACACACACACACACACACACACACACACACACACACACACACACACACACACACACACACACACACACACACACACACACACACACACACACACACACACACACACACACACACACACACACACACACACACACACACACACACACACACACACACACACACACACACACACACACACACACACACACACACACACACACACACACACACACACACACACACACACACACACACACACACACACACACACACACACACACACACACACACACACACACACACACACACACACACACACACACACACACACACACACACACACACACACACACACACACACACACACAGCTGAGTACCTCCCAGGAAGACAAAAGCATGAGCAACATACCACATCATCTCAATAAGCTTGTAGTTTCTCTTGGCATGAAACAGATGTAGGCCTAGGCTTTGACCAATCACATTCATAATCATAATTATCATAAATGATACTTCATACTGCATGTATACTATTTAAGATTATAAAATAAACCTCCTTCACATAGCTGTGCCTAAAGTAATGTAAACTCACCGTTTTCAGGCTTGCTCTCTCCACTGCCTTCTTCACTTTGCCGTAGGTGCCCTTCCCCAGAGTCTCCATCACCTCGTAGCGGTGTTTCAAGTTGTGTTTGTGCTGGTGTTTCTTTACTTCAGTCGGCTCTGTGACATTTGGAGCCGGGCTCGCCGCACCCACCATGTCTGGGTCTCTCTGCCTCTTGTCCGCGCTGCAGGCACGGTGGCTTCCCAGCGCCGCGGACTTCTCACCCGCACGGATGCCGCTGCATGTCACGTCCCGCGGGCAACCGAGCTCGGAGCAGTCGCTGGTGTTCATTGCGCCTCTGCTGTCAGCCTCACTCCTGCCCATCCTCTCTGCGCACCGTGCGCACCTGTCCGGAGGAGCAGCCCTCACTGGAACTGTATCCGAGCACTTGGAGCACAAAACGAAAGCAGCTCTAGTGACCAAGCAGTTGTTGATAAAGAGCGTTAACAGATCCACAAACTAGTCTATTGGCTTTAAAATGAGCATATGAAACCCATCCGATCCATTGGTCAGCAGCTGTGTTTTCCTCTTCAACCCTCCCCTCAGAAACACAGCAACAGGAGCGATGGGTGGAGCCTGCTCGTTCCTAAAGTAGCTCTCATATCAACATCCTGGCGCGTCACACTCCTTTGGGATCATTTTGGGTCTTCCGAGGGCTCATCGGCAGCAGGAGGGATGAAGGCATGTATGGAATGTATTGCGGGTCAGAAACTCACCCTAAATCCACCACTTCAGTCAGACATGTTTGTTAATGTTTTGCCATGTGGTGACCTGAGAAAAATAAATTCCTGAATAAACGTTGAAGAAACTTGGGATGAAGCAGATACTTTTAATATGGAGAGAAAGAGTAACTGTGTTTAGTAAAACGTCAGGATTTCATTTATTTGTTTTATTTAACTCAACTCAACATTATGACTATAGCCCCTAGCTATATCACATTTAAACGTGTAAAGCTGAAAAGATAGCTGACTGCTTAACTGGTATTGTTTTTTCTACTCAATAAACAACCTTATACACCCATGCAAAAGGTTATTATAGGGCTGCAACAAAAAACACCACCACTATTGTCTGCGGTTAGGAATTCCCAGCCAGGTTTCAATACAGCTGAATGAGGCTAAGAGGACAGAAGCTTCATTTCCCATACATCCTTGCTCCAAGCTTTGTTGCTCAGAGTCAGGAGGAGATGAATTATGGTGTGAAGAGGTCTCGAGGATTGAGGTTAGCCACCAGACAGACGTCATAGCTGTCATGCAAGGCTGCTCGTCTTTCCACTACAGTCCACACATTGTCTGCAGGGTCCATTTTTAAAATCTCCTTGGTGATGATCTCATGACGGCCTGCAGTAGTTAGAGAAAGTATGTAAATGACAGCTGACCAAAATCTAATTTATTCTAATCTAATCAGTTGGCTGGCATTCCCAGACCCAAAGTGTTCCTATAGTTTGTGTGCAAAGGCCATTTCATGAAGTTTACGTCTCTAAGAGATCATGCAAAAGAACCTGCATGAAAAAATATTGTCAGGCATTCACTTACTCACCAGCACCCTTGTAGTATCCACAGAGGTAAAGCTTGCCATGCACTGCTCCTACATTGGAGGCGTTAGTTTGAAGGCTGAGTAAAGACGTGGGCAGGGTTGGTCCTGCCCTCCAGGTGTCTGTGTCTGGGTTATAGATCTCTACAGAGCTAAGACAGTGTCGTAACTGTCCACAGTCTTCTCCATCACATCCTATACCACCTGAAAATCACACAAACACATCACCTGGCTACAATATCATAGAGAAGAAATACTTAGAAATTAACTTGCAGTCTTTCTTGTCTGACCTAGTATGTACATTTCTCCGTTGAGGACAGCCGTCCCGCAGCGGTACCTGGAGTACTTCATCCTGGCACATTCAGTCCACCTGTCTTTGCCGGGGTCAAACCGAAAGACACGGTTACTCAGCTTGTCAGGTTCATCATCTGGCTGGTGCTGATGGAGGAGACAAGAGTTGGACAGAGGGAGGAAGAACACATTGAGGTGAGAAATGAGAACCAGAGGAAACAGTGAAGGACAGAGAAGGTGAATGTTACACCTATTATTTCGTCATCTGACTGATAGACGATAAAAAGAGAGGGTATGCCAACAAACTCCAGTAGTGGCAGTAGTGGTCTGTGAACATGGCCTGGGCTGATGTAAGGTTCTCAGCCTGAATTATTATCCCAGTCCTGCCCAGCTAGAGGACAACAGAGTCTTTCAAATGTAAACCTGTAAACTAAATTTGATTTCCCCCTTAACAAGTGTTTCTCTAAAACATTAAATACGTAGCACTAAGCGTACATCAACCAAAGTTAAAGTTCACTAAAAACAGCAATGGCTAATATTTAAGAAGTTCAACACCTAAAAGGTCAGTCAATCTACTTAAGGTTTGTGCTGATTGTGGATCGATCACATTTGATTGACAGGGCTGTCAGTGTCAACATAAAATAATTGTTATGGGCCTTTGAAAAATGTAGCCCTATCGGTGGGGAAAGTCTGTTTTTGGTTGTCATCAGGCTAGCCTGAACCTGATAATAGACCAGTGTACTCTTGCTCAAGGTTACATCATTGCACCCATCTACAGCTGACGTTTTTTGAACATTTCTGTGTACCTGTGGTGTCCAGCCCCCCAGCACATAGAGACACTCCTTCAGACTGACGGTGCAGTGGCAGGCCAAGGGAAGAGGCAGAGGGGAAAAGCTGATCCAGCTGCCTCCTCTCTTCAGCGACCATCTAGAAACATTGTCTGTGATTATGTAGTGATTATGAACTTTCATCTGACCTCCCATCATATACAGGGCATCACCTAGAAGCCCTAAAGCATACATGTCCCTGTGTGCTGTGGAGCACAGCTTCATCCAGCTGTTCTTCTCTGATTGATCGTACCTGGCAAATAAAAAGGCATTTTAGATCTGGAAAGCAGTGGCCTTAAAAATGATTTGTATTCTTATGTGAACACACACACCTGTAGATATCTACCCTCTTGCTTCTGTGTTGGTCTTCTCCCTCTATAGCTACCACTATGTTGTTGTCTCGTGTCACTGCCCCAGCTGTGATCTGCCCCATACCCCCACAGACCCTCAGTGGAGAGGGGATAAAGTACGTTTTTCTGCCATGCGGGTCAAAGCAAAAACTGAGGTCAGCAAGTCCTCCACGGCGGGCAGGCACTCCCTCCTTATCCACCCCACCCAAGCAGAGCAGCAGGTCGGTGGTCTCCATGCCGTAACGAAGGGCTGGCCGAGGTGCAGCGGACGCCTCACAGAGACCTGGGGTCTGGAGAGCAGCGTCAATCATCCCAAAGCACTCAGCATCCCTCAGCAACTCCTGGAACATTGTATATACAGGCATGGTAGTCTGACAATCTACTAATCTTCTGATAAATGTTGATAAGGAATCTTGACTTGTATTGCTGTCTCTCCCCTTCCCTCCCTTTCTTCTCTCACCGGGTTTCGTCTCCTAGTTTTACGGAGGAATTGAGGGTCAACAAGTTCTAGCCGGACACGCCTGATTAACTCCACAGCCTGGGCTTCACTCTGCAAGTCTCCTCTTCGCCTCTCCACCCAACGCAGCACCAGCTCCAGCACAACCTCCTCCTGCGATATGTTGAGGTCATCTGAGCCCAGCAGGTCCCCAAGACTTTGAGCATCCAGCTCCAGCACTTCTTCCTCTTCACAAACCTGAGGCAAGAGGATAATGAAGGGGGAGTTATCAATGGCAAATACTGAATAAAGAAGAACAATGTTGATACAGTTAAGCAGGTGGTTCCACAAGGCCTGAATAGACATTGCACATACATCTACATTTGACCACATCATTTCTTACCCCAAGTAACAGTTTTGACATTTTCTCTAATTGAGAGAATATTTGTATGAACTAATAATGAATGCCTTACCTGTGCAAAGTGTTGGCAGAGGTATCTTAAGGCGCAGTTGGCCAGACCGGCGGCCCCCAGGTCTCTGGCCCAGTGGTACAGGCCAATACAGTTGGAAGGGTCCATGCAGGCCTCCATGTGGTTCTGACACAACCTGCAGCGATAACAAGGTGGCTATGGGAACTAAAATACTTCTCAAACTTACTTTCTATCCTGCCATATACCACATATAGAAAGGTATCTGGATGCTCCTGATGTTCCATATACACACACTGGGCTAATTGATATGCGTTTATTTGAATATAGACCTATTTCCTAGTGATGTTACGTATTGCGCCGAGGCTTCGGAGCGTGTGTCGAGTAATCCCCGAAGCTTTTTGTGAAGCATGTATCGAGGCTTGTATCGTTTTGGGCCAGTGACGTCATCGATGACAAACGAAGCCTCGCTGCCTGTCGATACCACGTGACTGCTTCAGGAAGCGATTCAGATCGGTTGAACCGTTGAACCACAACGCTCATAATACCCATGGATGTATAATAAGAACCATATTACCCCTCCTGTACCCGGGCCCGGTGACACGATGGAATCAAGAGAGCTCAGACCCTCACCTATATAGAGGTCGGAACATGTCATAAGTATAAATAGATACAAGCATAAATAAATGTAGGAAAAAAAACATGAATGAATAAATACAGGAATAAATATGTTACAGTATTTTCAGGGAGATTCAGCGTGTGTGCTGTGGCTCAGCTGGAAAGCAGTTGACTCACGATCGCAGGGTCTCTGGTTCAACGACTCGTCAATACGTCTTTTTTGTTGTTTATAAAAGCTACAGCTAAATGAGATAATGTAGTTAATAAATGTATTCTTTGATATGGTTTAGCCTTTCTCAGGCTACAACATGGTTACGTTTATGAATATTATTAAGGAATACAAATCCCTATTTGTAATGTTTACCAGCCTCCTTAGGCTTTTCAATCACAATCATTCAACTGGAATAAAAACAATATTGTTAACATGAAAATATGATTTAATGTTCGTTGTTTAGATGTATTCTAAGGCTTTACTCATTGGGAACTCGGTATGAGATAGAGCACACTGTTGAGATGTCCAATCTGCCTGTTTTACACACTTTGACCAACAGGGGGTTTGTGTTCAAATGAAGCCCATGATGAAGCCTCATGAGATGAACCCTTTTGCGAACCAATTGGCTGGAAAGCTTCAAAGCTTCATAAGGCTTCATCTCGCCATCACTACTATTTCCAGTTCTCCTCTCCCACCTGAAGGCTCCATCCACATGGAGCAGGAAGGCAGCTGCAGCCACTCCCTGGATGTTGTCGTCCGAAAGGCGGAGTTCAGCTCGGTACATGTAGTCCAGTAGCAGCTCCAGGCTCTGGGCAGGAGTGTCTCTAAGAAATACCTCTCCTCCCCGGGTCTCCTTCAGACCACATGTAAACATGGCCTGGACACAGTGATTAACAATTAATGTCTCATAGCATCCTCAACAGATTTACTCGTATCAGTTCTGCAAAACAAATCAGATTTTTCCTTTATCAGCACATTCACTCTCAGTAACTGTAGACAGCAACTTCACCTGGAAGTAAGGGCTGAATGCAGACAGCACCACCTTGTGGCAAGTAAAGGGAATCCCCTCTGCCA